TGGGTTTAGTAAGATCATTTGAACTAAGTGAATCCTATAGAAAATAGTGATGCCGGAACGAGGGAACGGTGGGATCGTAATTAGAGTCGCTCTAATCAACTTTAACATCCCTCATAACATTTAAAGAACTTCAACCATAGGGCCGTCTGATTTGACCTCATAACTTTATACACTAGAAAACTCAAACTCTTCGCGGTAAGGAGCTTGGAGATAGCACGGTTGGCAGCACGACCATCTTCAACACCAAAACCTGTCTTTCACAGCTAAACCAATCTTCCTTCCTTAAACTTAAACAACAAAGCCGTAGGACTTTGTAGGACTTTGAGGTTGCAATATAAATCCTCACCTTATCTTTAGACCTTTGCATAGCCCTGCTATACAATATAAGCCCTACTCGTCTTAGGATTTTGAGGTTGTCATTTGTCATAACCTAAATCCTTGTATCTTTCAGGCTATTTATGTGATCGTTTCGCACGAATGTAAGCCCTAACTAATAAAATTGGCAAGATGAAACACCTAAGAAACTCTCCTCAAAACTGAAGCCAAACATTAGGATAGCTTGGGAAGTCACCGAGGTTCGCCTCTGGATCCAAATTGGAACCAATCCCCTTTCACACCTCTACGTCCGATCTCATTAAAAATTCTTCTTCTTTTGAAATCCTTGAAGATAATGTTTCCTGATTTTTATCGAGAGTCTTCTTAGGTGACTTTGGTCATTTAAGATGTAATTAACTATAGGGGCTTGCACTTATATGAAGCATGTCTGAACCCAACTTAATATAAACCCTATTTAATCCTTTATATTAAATAGGGGAACTTGTCGGCAAATACAAAGGTTTCGTAGACCAAACGGATGTCATATATTCCTTAGTTTATTAGATCAAGTCTCATCCTCAAGTCATGTGTTTATCCTTCAGGATAGAAACAGGATTTGAGGTACAGTGCTCTTTCATTTAAATTATGAAAAATGTGGGGTCAGTTTGATTTCATATTTTTCTAAACTAAATATATATGTAAATTAAAACGTCCTTCCGAGGAGGAGGGCGACGGGATTTTGATTTCGGTGACTGATAACTTCTTACGGCCAACTCTCTCCAACCAAAAATAGCACCGACAAATGCCAATTGAGTGTAAATTTTTTTGTTATGAAGTTCAATTCGGTGGAATTTGGAGTCTCAGGACAAATTTGGATTTTGGTCCAAGTTGAATTTGAGTGATATTGGGGCTTGACCAAGGCCAATTGAGGATTCAATTGGATGTGTGGGAGTCTTTTAAAGAGCTTAGGATTTAAAATTGGGGCAATTGCATAGGTATGGGTGTTAAATTTGATGAAATTTTCGCTTAGGGCCAAATTAGGGATTTTGAATTTGGCTTAGGATTTTGGTTTGAAATTGGGTCCAATTGAACTTAGATTTGGTTTCAATCAATTTTAAGCATGATTAATTTGAGTTCAAATTTGAAATTGAGAAAATTTGGGATCAAATTGGTGGACAGTTGGGGGTGAATTGGGGTAATTGGATCTTTAAGGGCAATTTGGGGCTTTTGGTCAAAATTGGTCAAATTGGTCAAATTGGTCAAATTGGTCAAATTGGTCAAATTGGTCAAATTGGTCAAATTGGTCAAATTGGTCAAATTGGTCAAATTGGTCAAATTGGTCAAATTGGGCTCAATGGAGTGGTCCAAATTGGTTTTTGAGACATTTGAAATGATTTTGAAGGTTCTGGGACAGTTTGGGTCACCAAGAGTAATTTTGTAATTTTGGCAAAATATGGGGTATTTTGGTAATTTTGAAATTTTGTTGTGTTTTGGGCAATTTGGGTGGTTTCAAAAAGTTTGACATTATTTTTGAGCAAATTTGGGCATTTTGGATAATTTTTTGGATCTTGGTCAAAATTGGAGTTCCATGGGTAGTTCGGTAAATTTGGGTAGGTTTTGGGGGCAAAATGCTAAAGTGGGTATTTTAGTAGGATTGGGGTTCCCAACCAACAACCACCCTAATTGAGTCGTGGACCAGTAGAATTCCCTTATTTTGGTCCTCCATATATTGGTTTCAGCTAAACCCTAGCCTAGGGGACCACCTACACAAGTTTCCCAAAAAGTTAAGAGACTAACTAAGCATATTTGACTAAAGCCTGAGGTTGTGAGTGTAAGTGAGGGGTATCAAGTGTTTGTGTGTGTGAAATGGATGAAGGCCACACCACCCAAGGTCCCTTATAAGGAAAAATAATCCTATGGGGACTCCCTTTGAGCTTCCCCATACTGGCCCCACCTATTAAATGTTAGAGGCTAAGACAAATATGTAGAACTTTAAATTGCGTAAAGAGGAGTTTAGCGTTTATAATGGTGACGGTTCCTTCACTAGTCCTCTAGGAATAGTTAACAGGTAACTCCTATGTTTAGACCCAGGCTACTAAAGAGGAAATTAGACCTCAACCATAAGTGCAGTCAACAAATGGACCCCTAGGAGGCGTGGTGTGTCGGCCCGCACACAGCACATATTGGTGTTGACCGAAGAGATCAACAAAACCAAAATGACTGTTTAAGTCAATAAACTCATAATAGAATAGAAAAAGAATAAAAGATTTTTGCTGGAGAGTAAGCAGGGACTCCTGTTGGGCAAAAGGAAGGGGATTCCAGAAACAACCATCAGGAAAACTGACGGTCGTGGTGAAGATTTGATTTTAATCTAATGTTTAAAAAAAAATAATTTTGATTTCAATTGTAATACTTTTGAAGGAAAAAGTTATGTATGACGAGGCTGAATTGAGATGGAAAGCACAAGGACTTACATACAACTCAAAAGGTCACAACAGTGCATAGAACGAAACCATCAAGAACATTATGTCAAGAAGAAAAGACTATACCAGTTCAAGCAACCACTAGGGACATTACGTCCAAATTTGTTTTAGTCTAAGAATAGTGGCCATTAAGGACATTATACTAAACTTCAAGGTGGGAATCAGAATTCTGGTACTGACTCCGTGAGGAGAATTGGAATTCAGGTTCTAACCTCAAAAAGGAAAAAATATACGAGCTCAGGCAACCTCTATGGACATTATGTTCAAACTGGATCTAATCAAAGAGTGACAAACACTAGGAACATTATGCAAACCTTTAAGGTGGGAATTAGAATTCAAGTATTGACCTTGGGATGAGAACTGGATTTCAGGTAACACCCTCAAAAATGAAAAACTATACTAATTCGAGCAACCGCAAGGGGCATGACTTCTGAAATGGATATAGTCGAAGAATTGCAACCACTAGGGACATTACGCCAAACTTTAAGGTGGGAATCAGAATTCAATTATTGACCTGAGAGGAGAACTAGAATTCAGGTACTAGCCTCAAAAGGAAAAAAAATATACTAATTTGGGCAATCGCTAGGGACATTATGCCCAAACTAGATCTAGTCGAAGAATGACAACCACTCGGGACATTACACCAAACTTCAAAGTGGGAATCAAAATTTAGGTATTGACCATGGCAAGAGAACTGAATTTCAGGAACCAACCTTGAAAAGCAAAAAAAATATACCAGTTCAGACAACCGCTAGGGACATTATGTCGGAACTAGATCTAGTCGAAGAATGACAACCGCTCGAGACATTACGACAAACTTTAAGGTGGAAATTAGATATCAGGTACTCACCCTGACAGGAGAACAAGAATTCAGGTACCAGCCTTGAAAAGGAAAAACTATACCAGTTCGGGCAACCGCTAGGGGCATTACATCTGAATTGGATCTAGTCTATGAAGGCTGCGCCAAACATCAAAGTGGGATTCATAATTTAGGTACTGACCCTGAGAGGAGAACTAGAATTCAGGTACCAGCCTCGAAAAGAAAAGATTATACCAGTTCAGGGAACCTCTAAGGACATTATGTCTGAACTGGATCTAGTCAAAAAATGGTAACCACTCGGGACAATATGCCAAACCTCAATGTGGGAATCAAAATTCAGGTACTGACCTCAGGAGTATTAAAAGTACAAAGGTTTCATGAAAAGAAGATGAGATGTTGAAAAGAATTGCTAATAAGGGAGTAGGGTGGAGGCCTATCATGAATGCTGAGATTTTTTGAGCAGGGAGTAGGGCGGAAGCCTATACCAAGTGCTGAGATTTTGTGATAAGGGAGTAGGGCAAAAACCTATCCCATGTACTGAGATTTTTTGAGGACTGTGGCACTCCATGGAGGATTGTGAGAAATTTATGCAAACAGAGACATTTGTGCTATGAAAGCGGAGAGTGTGGAACTTCAAACTTGAGAGGAATTAATTCATTAAATTTATCTTTTTTCTTGTTGTCTTTATCATCATCTGATTATCAGGATATTTTTTCAAACTTAATCTCCATTGATTATTTTTTTTTCAAAAATATTTTTTATTTAAATTTTATTATCAAAATTTTGTGGTATCATTCTTTGTTCATTATAAATTAGAACCAACATGTGGTTCTGCAGCTCTTTATCCATTGCACAAAAAAAGTAATTTAACAAATATCTCAAATCTGAAAGAAACTTCATTAAACTGCTTCACATATGTGTTACAAACTAAACAAATGATGAAGATGTCAAAAGATAACATGTTGAATACATTCTGAAGCATCAAATGCTGAAACATTTCAAATATTGAATACATCTGAAACATTATATATCATATCTATCATATAGTGATGCAATATAAAAAGTGACAAGAACTATATATCAATCCTCTGTGGCAAGCTCATGATCATATTGACCTTCTAGGCCACGCTCTGGGACAAGAATTCTTTTCGCGTGCACTTAGAGGTACAACTATCACATAGCTCGTATGGATGCAGTTCTTCTAATTCTGGGTCTAAACAAACTCCATGAGGCATCTTACTGTCATCTATTCTTTTTAACATAATAAAAACTCTGCAGTGCAACACTTCTAAGATGGAGTGCTTTGCCAAATCTTCTTCGTTTTCATTCAATATTAAAACTGAACCCACTGGCAGTGGAATTTCAACATATCCTCAGAATTCTCAAGGGCCAACAATATCAATTTCTTTTCCAAACATAATACTACTCTTGCTCATAAAGGAAACAGTGCAAAAGGGCCTAATGAAATCATGATTATCAATATGTGGAGGAAAGCAGTCTCCTTCCTCGTAAATGTTGATGATGCAGCTACTTGGGATGCAATCTGCCAGTAGTACGCTCCATCTGAGCATTCTCTTAATCATCCTTCTTATTACGGAAGGCAGAGGATCCTTCTCCTCATATTTTAGGATGCACGGTGGCTTCCCTAGTTTATCCTTTACAACATTATAGCAACAACCAAATTGAATTGTAATTCTTTCCTTGCCCCTCATCCATTTCTGGGGCTCTGAGTAGGTCTTTTTGAGTAACAGGCCGGCGTGGCCTATGTCCTTCAAGTCAAACACGCAGTCGAGAATCGTCCTCTCATCACATTCGAAGAAAACCTCTGTTAACAGCTCCAGACCTTCTAAGATGTTAACAAATTTTCCTTGAATTTCCTCATAAAACTTAAATTCCCTTTTCTTGAATTTGCTCCTCCTTTCTAACTATGCGGTAGGATTTCTTCAAGGTCATTGGGGCTACTCCCACATTTCAATCTCCGTCAAAAACTCTTAAATAAAAATCTAAAAGATGCCTTGTTGTCTCTTCAAAATGTGTCCCTGTTCAATGAATCTTCTAGAAGTTACCTCCTTCCAAAAGCCAATTGAATGAAATTTCATTTCCATTAACTATTTCCCACATTTTCACCAAGGGTTACTTCAAACACCTCTTCAAAAATTTATCCAAACTTAATATATCATCAAATAACTACTTCTGGTGCTTAAGCATAGGGTACCTGGCACTTAGGCATGGCTCTGTCACTTAGGCAAGGCTCTCTCTGTTTAACTGGCGCGTAAGTGCAAGTCTTCGGCACTTAGCACCTCGGTTCATTTTTGCACCTTCTTCATTTTTGCTCCAAATTTGATTCTTTTTCACTCCTTTCATAAATTTTCATCGGTTTGATTGTACCTGAAAGAAAAACACACAAAACCTTTCATTAAAGCGTAATATCTCAAAAATAGGTATAAAAATGTGTACATAAAAACTATATTTTAGGTGTATCAAAATCCCCCAAACTTAAAATGTTACTTAAAAATATAGTAATTCTTCAAGTGAAACTCTAATTCTTTAAAACCAAATAATTAGATTGTGTGTATGAGTTTCTTTAGAATATTCTAAAATTTTTATGTAGAAATATAATAGTCTAATTTAGAAATATAGTAATTCTTCAAGTGAAACTCTAATTCTTTAAAACCAAATAATTAGATTGTGTGTATGAGTTTCTTTAGAATATTCTAAAATTTTTATGTAGAAATATAATAGTCTAATTTAGAAAAAACTTTAGTAAAAGAGACCAACTTATAGATTAGAAATTTTTATTTTAAAGATGTATGAAATTATAAGTTTCTATCTAGTTTAGAAATATTGTAAATCCTCAAAATATAGAGTTTAGCCATTCTATCTTCACCACTTAAAAAAATTTTATTAAACATAATTTTACTTACTATATTATATCCTTAAGCTTAAGAGCTTCTCATGGCTTATACTTTAAAAAGAGCAGATGTAGAACAAATTTTTGATTAGGCAATAATCCTCAAGCTCCTTTTTCATCTTTTTTTTTCTTTTTCTTTTTCTTCTTTTTCTTTTTTCTGACAAGGATTACTATATCTAGATAGGTCTTTAATGATTTTGAATTCCACTCTTCTTTTCTTAAAGCAAAGAGTTGATATATTTCCTTTAATTAAAAACATAATAAAAGTTTAGAAAATTAATTTCAATAAAAGAAATTTAAGTTTTGAAAAATAAAAGTCTAATCCTTCTACATTTTTAAAAAATACAATTGCTCCTACTAAAGATAGTTACATAATTTTTATCATTTTCACCTCAAAAATTTTTAACTTTAAGTTTTGTTTCATTGCTATAGGTTTTAACTAAATTCTCTTACTCATTTCTATATTCAAAATTTTACATACCTAATAAAACTTCATATACATAATCATTTTTCTTCAAATCAAAATCAAATTTATTAGAAGTACATTTGTGTTGACCTTCTTTTGGTTGAGGTCAAGTTTCATCCTAAGTAGCCTAGGGTCTAGCCATAGGACTTTTCTGTTGACTATTCTTAGAGGACTAGAAAATGAACCTTCACCATTGGAAACTCTGAACTCTTCTTTGCTCAACTTGAAGTTCCACGTATTGGTCCTAACCTCTAACACTTACACTTAGTAGGTGGGGGGGGCCAATATAGGGGAGCTCAAGGAGAGTCCCCATAGAATTGCTTGGCCTTAGGGTTAACTCTGAGAGGTGTGGTCTAGGTTAGTTTCACACACACACTTGCAAATTACACTTCCACTCACAGCCTTAAACCCAAACATCATTTTACTTCCACTCACTACCCTGAACCCAAACATTTTTAACTTTGATCCCTTAACCATTTGGGAGACTCATGTAAATGGTCCCCTAGGCCACTAGCCCTAGGCTAGGATGTAGGTAACATGTAGCTAACACCAGTACATGAAGGACTTAAAGTAGGGAATTCTATTGATTCATGTCTCAATTAGAGTGGTTGACACCCCAATTTTACCAAAATACTCAACTTTACCGTGTCCCTCCAAATCTACCCAATTTACCAAATTACCCTTGAAACCATAAAATTATCCAAATATCCCAAAATACTCAACTTTGTCCAAAAATCATCTCAAACTAATTGAAATTGCCCAATTGTCCAAAAAATCCCAAAGTTTGCAAATTTACCAAAATATCCCTCACTTTGCCAAAATTACAAAAATACTCCTCGTGACCCAAATTGTCTAAAAACCTTCAAAATCATTTCAAATGTCCCTAACATACATTTTGACTACTCCATTGAGCTCAATTTGACCAATTTGACCTATTTTGACCAAAAGCCCCAATTTACCTTTAAAGGCCCGATTTCCCTATTTCATCCTCAATTTCCACCAATTTGATTCTAATTTTCCCCAATTTCAATTACAATGTCAAATTAATTACATTTAAGCTTGATTGAAACCAAATCCAAGCCCAATTGACCCGCATTTGAATCTAATTTCAAACCAAATTAAAATGCCCCAATTTGACCCTAAGCCAAAATTTCACCAAATCTATCCATTTGCTACAATTTTGAATCATAAAATTTTTAAAATACTTCCCCACATCAAATTGAACCTTCAATTGGCCCTAGTCAACCATCAATTTTACTTAAAATCAACTTGAACCAAAACCCCCAATTTTTCCCCAAATTCCACCAAATTGAACTCCATAACCCAAAAATTTCCACTCAATTTCTTTCCAAAACTCTTCATGATAATCGCCCACATCAAATTGAACGATCAATTGGGCCTTAGAGAAACTCTAGCCCAACTCAAACCCACATCTAACCCAACACCCCCAAACTTGATCATGAGCCAAAATCATTCAAATTGAACTTCCAAATCAATTCACAATAACTCCAAACCTTTCTAAACTCCTTGTGAAAATTATATACACCATTTTGATCAATCAATTGACCTCAATGTCATGACTAGCTCAACCAAAACCCAACTTCAAGTCAACCTCAAAGTTAAACCCATGTACCAAAGTTGGCCAAACTAAGACAAATTAATCAAACCAAAGTCACCACAACCACCATTTGGACTCTAGTGACCAGGCTAGACCCACCTAGCCCACCCTACATGAGAAATGGACCAATGGTCCCTTGATTTAAGAGATCTCATCCCATTTAAAGCCTAAACTAAAATATCTTGATTATCATCACTTGTCATTAAGAGTTAACTATCATTAGCCACCCCCTGGCCTCCCTAGGTCCATAAGTGACTTAACCCTAGCCAGCCACCACCTCAGCCACTGGAAATAGCTAGCCCAAGGGAGCTCTAAGTGAATAGAACCCAAAATTAGACTTATTTGAGTTGGTTAAGTCCCATTAGAAATTAGAGCTCTTCTGCCCTCCACCTAAGCACTGCTTTGCACCCATTAATTGCGCCTAGTGGCCACCCCAAGCTCCTCTATTTAAACGCCCCCCACTTCATGAATAAAGGAGATAATGCTTGAAACTTAGAGGAAACTTTACCAAAATCTCAGCAGAGCTTCTTAAAACCTCCCTAAGTGCAATCCCCCTGCTTTCAGCCACCCACAACCACTACTTAGAGACAATTTGACCTTAAATTTAACTTAAAACAAGGAAACTTTCTGTCATGGCACCACAGTGCATCGAACTCCAATTAAACTTGCACACACCATCCTCATAGTGAGAGGAATTCATCCACCACAAAAGCCCCATCACAGAGAGCCTCTAATCTAACTCTAGAGCAACACTTGAAAATGAACTTGATCAAAATCATACCTAAACAATTAACTACAGCCTAGGAGCTCATCTAAAGTTTTGTTGAACTATTGTGAAGCTTCTCTAACCATCTGATTGAGGCTACTCCTCTCAAACAAAGGTATTGAGCTCTAACCCTAACCCGAGCTTAATTTGATTCTCCATAAGTATATAATAAATTTCAAGCTCGATCAACCATATAGATAGGTTTTTCTTAAGTAGATGAAGGTGTGGGAACAAACCCCATGTGATTTGGTTGGGGAACAAACCCCATGTGATTTGGTGATTTGGTTGAGTCTAGCTCAAGATTTTAAGGTTTTAGTGTGGGCGGCTTGGGGGTTAGGTGAGTTGGGGATGATGAACGAAGGTTGTCCAATCGCGCGTGTATCGTTTGAATGATTGAGATCGTGTTGGATGAAGGAATGGAACACAAGCAGTGGCTAACAAGGCGGCTAAATGGCTGGAGGTGCCAAATCAAAGGCGTCGTGTGTAAAGCTCAACACGTCGTAAGTTGCGCTTGCGCTGACTGGGTTAAATAGAAAAGTATGTATTTTCTAAATTATTTACATTTTTTATTATTGAAAATCCATAACTTTGCATAGAAAAACCATAAAAATATATTGAAAATACCCACTTGCTCATTAAATAGAGGAGAATAATATGAACCAAAAATAAAAAAATTATTTTTTGACTCTCTGTTTTTTAATTAATTAAATTGTCTCTATGATATTTTAATTTATTTTTATTAAATATTGATCACCATGGCTTGAAAATTATGGAGTTGTTCCTCATGACAGAGGAGATGTTCTCTGATTTTTTCAAGGTTAGAGAGCATCTCTATGCTTGTAACCCTAATTTTGCTTGTAACCCTACTCTATGCTTGTAACCCTAATTTTCAAGCTTGGATGACTATTTTGGCTTACATTAACTATATAAATTAAAATTTCACTTGGAAAATTTTAAGATAAATTTTAGTAGGTTTTCTGTAGTCAGCGAAGCTTAGGAAAAATATCATGATGGCTTGAAAAGTTTTGTGCATTTCTATAATTAATTAAATGTCTATATTTTATATTAATATATTTAAATTAGAT